TCATTGTTAACTGCTTATTCACACAGACAAGGGAAGAGGGTCAGACAAAATACACTGGGACATCAGTTGGCCTAACACAGCAAACTAAATGTTGGCATAGTAAGCTGTTGGCAAGACTAAGGAATGGCATAGTTTCTTAATGCAGTCTTACTTCAGCAGAAATTTCATTTTTGTACATGTCATATTGCAATCTGTAATTAGATGCTCTTTGCCCAAGCCACCAGCTCCCTGAGTAGTCTGCCTGTCAATCTGCCAGCAACTCTTGAGTCAACGAGGTTTTTCAGCACATGGGATGTGCCCCAGACCTCAGTACGAGGGCTCGCACACCCTATGGTGCCTGCAAGCATCAGCTGGATGGGAGCCACAACAGGAGCAGAGCCATCCCTGGTTAAATGATGCTGTAAAACGCAGCACTCACTGCTATTACTGGAACGCCACTCCTTATTTCTAATAGTCAATTCCGGCTCAAAAATGTTTTCTCCTTAAGCTGCCTCATCCTTAGAAATAACAAAAATGTGATATGTAGGAGTGGAAAAGGAGCAGGGTTGTGAGTGGAGACAGCAGAGGCTGATTTCCAGACTTCCTGAGACTTCAGAGTAGGCGCTGACTGATAGAAATACTCAGAGATCCACAGAACTCAATAGATCTGTGATTCACACCAGCTGTGGATTGACTCTTTAGTTTCCAAAGAGTATCTCTGACATATCTGGAGAAATGTTTTTCACCACTATCTAAAACAAAACAGTCACTATGGATTCAGATGTAAACTGCATGCAGAGCCACATCTTCAAGTAATGAGGTGCAATTTTGGCAGAAGAGTATGTAAAAATAATCATTATGTAGCAGAAAGAAATGGAGCCTGATCGTTTTGGCAGAACGTACACTGAGTCTTAGCCAACCTTGTGACAGCACATCACCCTGTAAAACTACCTTATGGAGCCGTAATAATCAGCAAAGTTCTCAGCAGAGCCATCGATAGCAAACAATTCTGGCTGCACTGAGATCTAAGCAAGTGTAACAATCACAATAACCTTTCAAATTAATGCAGTCACCTGACAATGCAACCACAAGTTTTAGCACCAGTAAAAGTGCAAGAGAAACTCCGTGCTTTACATATCTCCTACAGAACACTTACACTTCAACAGTGTAAATGAAATAACCATAGGAGGAATTTCTTCCCAGTGTGAGTTTCACAATACAAAATAAATTTGGCTGAAAAATGAATGCATTTCCATTAATTTTTGTGAAAAAATCAAGCACTAACATGTAGGCCCTGCATGTAGGGTAAGTTTTCTCTGTGGACTGCTCCATGCAGCTGTATAGCTTGTTTTACATCCTGAAAGACTCTGGTTTATTCTGCCTCCCATCAGCCTTGAACCTAAGTCTTCTGTTTGAAATCAACTACTAACGGGTCCATTAAGGAAAGCTGCTTTCACCTGTAACTAATGTTGAAAGAACAATAATAGCTACAAGTTCAAGGAAGTAATTTCCCAGAATATCATTTGCAACATGCTCACTGCAAAATATGGTTAATTCAAATGCATCTTTAAAGATTGTAAATATATATTTACATTTTAAGTTTTCATTAATGAATAAAATAAATTTCATATTTTTATAGAGTATTGCTGATATTAACAAATAAACAAACAAAAAAACTAAGAAGTTCAAGTAAAGTAATTTACTTCTGAAAATATTTCTGCTCCCAAAAAAGCCTCAAAGTAATTTGTGGCAAAGGCACTTTCATGTCAATGAAAACAGGCAAACATGGCTCCTTACCTCTGTTTGAATTGCTCCCTAATGCACTATGAATCAGCTCCACTCAACAGTCTAGAAAATCTCTACTTAACAATCTAAGTGAGCAGGAAACAGCAAAATAGATTAGTATACATAAAGCAACCAGGCTACCTGTTTGTTCACATGAAAATGTGCAAAAGCTCTCCGAGGGCAAGGAGAGGGAGTTGAGGAGTGGGGCCCACAGTCTGTCCTAGAACCTGAAAGTAAAGCAAACCAACAAATAAAAGCTTTTGACATTATGTCATTATATGGCATTTAAGTCTGGTTGACAGAATGCTGAAATATAATAATGTTACTAAAACATGGATGCACATTCTATATTGCCTTTATTATAACGTGATCTCAACATTTTCAATGGTAACAAATTTTTTAAAAGTTACAGTTCAGATTTGTGATAATAATTGCAGGCTCCTTCATTTCCACAATTGTTCATGAGAGTCTAATAGGGATGTGTTTATCTATAATGCCTTATATCGTAATAGATAATATCAATATTGAAATGGAGTTGTGATTTAATATTTACCTTGTGCATTACAAAGAGGTGCAACTATGTGGGATTAGGAGGTGGTTTTATGAAATACAGAGTTCATGTGTAAACGGTGAATTTTCTGTGACGCATTTTCCAGCACATAACCAAGACCCAGACCCAGGACTCACAAATAGGTTGACGAGGTGTACACATTTTGCCTTCTCTCTGTCCTAGTGAAGTAGAACTAACCTGTAGAAGTGATGCAGAGTGGAGACTGGGTGTGCAGTCACAGAGGTGGAAATATAGCTCAAGTTTCTCTGATGTCCGAGGGAATTGCCTTCCCATAAGAACATGAAAAATGCATGCTCAAACTCATTTTAGGAAAAGAAAGGGAATGAATCTTTGTATCCCAACTTTTGAAGTTCCTCATCTTTAAGCCTCTTTTCAAAGAAGTTCTGGCTCTCGTTTACGTAGTCCTGCCTTATGCAGCCAAACATTAGCCTGCAATCATTAGTCAAGGAAAAAGGAGAGGAAGATGCCTGTTTGTACCAACACTATTCACTATTGCTATTCATGTTGAAGAAACTGGCCATCATTAATTAGGTGCTAGTTGATCATGACCCTCCTCCCCCAAGAGAAACAGTGAGACCATACCTCCCAAAGGGTTACATTGTGCCCTTGTTGAAATGGCTCTGGGCTTAGCCAGAGGGGTTAAGGGACTCACTACAGCTTACTGCCCTGAGCCCATCCCTGCAGAACAGCTGAGAGCTGAAGGCAGAGGCCACTGGTGTTAAGCAGGTGTCTTGCTGTTGATATCAAGACAGAGGAAGAGCTGGAACCCTCACTGAGTCTTTCTTTTTCTTTGCCAAGGAGTGAGGCAGGGCCATGTAATACTAATTGCCAAGCCTGTGATATCTCCATAGATCCTGACCAGGCCATGACAACTATAATTCAATAGTTAAATGTATTAAACATCCCAGTCACATGCTTTGTGCCACAACAGAAAAGGCAGAGATTTCCAGAAGACCTCGCCACCATGCAGTGGAAATGCTCTTTCTATTGTCTTCTCTCTCCTGGGAACATTGTCCAGCTTCCTAGCTCACCCCTCTCAGCAGACCTAAGGGAGCTCCCTGTGCTGCCAAGCAACAGCAGACTCCATGTGTGCCAGAGTGGAAGCTTCCCTGCAGCCTCAACTCAGGCAAGCCTCTTCTCCTCACACCAACAGTGTTGCGACAATGGTGTAGGCCTTGGGGGAGAACACACCACCGCAGGGAAGGCTGTCTTCACACTAGGCAGGCCTCACTTCCTCTCTTTCTCTCTGATGCCAAGACAAATGGCTGTGGGCCAGAAAAGGGGAAGGTAGAAAGGCTGTAAATAAAATGAGCCCAGAACTGGAAAAGACAGAAATTGCAGCTAGAGAAAAGGGAGGCAGAATCTGAATGGCGTGAGTAATTTCTGCATCTTCCGATTCTGGGCTCGTACTGTAGTAGGATGACTTCCTCCCCTTTGGGACCTTGCAATTCTGCTGGGAAAGGGGAAGATCGTATTGATTTACTGCTGGGAAACAGGAGCGTCTTCACTGAGCAGCCGGGGCAGCCCCGAGGTGGAGCCGGGCGGTTTCAGCACCCTGGACAGCGTCCTGCCGCGGTGGCTCCTGCCTTAGCGCTCCGGCCGTGCTCACTGTATCGCTCGGTTTCCTTCTGTTACGCGGGTCACAGAATCATAGAATATCCTGAGCAGGAAGGAACCCCCACGGCTGTTTATTTTATCACGTCTTTTCTCTCTCTTTCTCTCTCTCTCTCACCCTCCCGCTCCCACCCCGCCACCCCGCAGCCCCCGCGGACAGCCGGGCTCCTTTCCCCGCTGTCAGCGCTGCTCTCCCGTCCCTTCCTCCGCCCGCAGCTCCCCTCCCACCGGCCCCGCCCGCGCTTCATCTGCGCGCCCCGTCGAGACGCCCCGGTGCTCCGCCTCGGCCCCCTGGTTCGGGCAGCTCTGCCGGCCCCCGGAGGCACGGCTCCCCGCTGCCCGCTCGCCGCCCTCCTGCGTAGACGCTGGGCTCTGCCTCCCCCGGCAGCCCCCATCCTCGCTCCACCGCCGCCACAGCCTCGCCGCCGCCCCTCCCCGGAGCGCCGGAGATGCCCGGCGTGCCACGGAGCCGCGCCGCCGCAGCCCCGCGCTGCCCTCCAGCCTCTAGGCGCCGTGAGTACCGCTCGGGGCCGCCTCCGCCCCATCCTCCTCCTCCTCCCCCTCCGCCGCTGGGAAGCCGCCGTCTTCCCACGTCCCCCATCCGGCTCCGGACTCCGCACCACCGCGGGCGGGGAAGGAGCGGCCCCTACAGAGCGGCCCCGGGGTAGCCCGTCCGCACAGCGCGCGGGGTGAGGGGGCGGCTCCTGCCTGGCTGCCCCCGGTAGCGCCGTGTCCCGGAGGTGCCGCGCCGTAAGCGACGGGAGGAGGGGGCGGGCGGGAGGACGCATCCCTGCAGGTACTTAACGTGCGGGCGAGCTCCGTTCCCGCTTTGTACAAACGCGGCTCTCATTTAGGGAACCTCTGAAAACCTAAGCAGCCGTGCGAGCCCGGTGGCTGCATCACCTCCCCCTCCGGCCCTTCCCACCTACCTCCCCCGAGCGCACGCACACGCGCACCCGCTCCCTCCGGCACTTCTCCCCGCCGGGCGCCCACTGCCCGCCTCGCTCCGCTCCCCCGTCCTTGCAGAGCGGCTCCGGCCGGCGAGGGGCGCATGCGCAGGGCCGCGGAGCCGCCGTCCCCGGGCGGGGAGAGCGCATCTGCCGGGCCGGCAGCGGGAGTGGGAGCGGGCACGGCAGCCCCACGGGTCCCCGCCGCCGCCGACACCGTAAGTAGCGCTCGGTCCCACGGCGGGACGGGACGGGACGGGGCAGGGCGGGGGCTGCCTTGCCCCGGAGCCTGCAGTCCTCACGCCGGCATCGCGGGGCTCCCCTCCTAACGCGTGGTAACATCACTCCCCGCCGCTCCTCTGCGGGTCCCGACCTCCGCCGTCATTGGCACCGCCGTCGGGAGGACGCTGCAGGTGGTGAGAGTGAGGCACGGCCGCAAATACTGAATGAGATTATTTCGGCACACGCCGATGGGAATTGCAGTCATTTACTAGCGACGCAATGTGCTTGGCGCGACCGCTCCGTCATTTCATTTTGGCTGTTGAAAAATTCGCGATCCGAACGTTCCGCGCCGTGCCGCGGTGCCCCGTGCAGGTTCCGAACCCTCGGCCGCTCCGTGCGGGGCAGCGGGGCCACAGCGCCGCCCTCAGCTCGGAACAACGAAGGGTGTTTCCGAGCCAATCGCGTAGCGGGGCGTGCGGAGTGCTGCAGGACGAGAGCATCCCACCTACTCTCCCACCCATCCTTGCCCTCGCTCTGGGTCTCGCTTCTCGGAAGCACCACCGCTTAGGTGCTCCCCGTGCCCCGGGCGGAGCACCGCGCCCGTTCCCTGCTGTTCGGGTCTTCCCCGGAGCCTGGGGTCCCTCCCCGTGTCCCCGCTTCCGAAAGTCCGTCCCTCTGAATGACTGCCACCTGTTGTCCCGAGCGGGCGGCGGGAAGCACCGCGAGGATCCTTCGCGCCGGGGAGCGGCGCGGTGCCCTCATCTTTGAGAGAGCGTTCTGCCCACGGAGCCGCCGCGTGATGCAAAGGAGTCCACACAGCGTCCGGGCTGTAGCGGTGGTGCGGGATACCGAGTCCGGTACTCAGAGCAGAGCGTCGCAGCGCGACCCGAAGCGAATCGCGACGGCGGGCAGCGATAGGAGCGCAGCGTCAGTCTCTGCCCCCCAGTGACTCACCCCGCGCAGCCCTCAGCGCACCGCACCGCAACCCGCTCCGGCGGGAGCCGCGTGAGTCACACCCGCGCCCGGCACCGCGCGGGATGAGTCAGCGGCCGCTCCGGCTGCGCGGCCCCGGCGCAGCGCCGTGAGTCACCGCGGGACGGCAGCGCCGCCCGGGAGGAGCGCTTCCCCGTATCGCCGAGCGGCCCGCGGCGGGCGGTGGCGGCGGAGAGCGGAGTGTGCGCTGTTTGCGTGGGGGAGGAGGTTTGTAAAGCACGGAGCTGAATGAACTCGGTGTGCGTGTGCGTGCCGGAATATCAGCACAAGCAATACTTGAAGCAGTACTCGCTCCGACTGTAAAGCTGGAGGTGCGATGGTTGGGGCCCGGTGTTGGCTGAGCTGGAGCTCACGGTGATCCGGTTTGTGAAGGGGCTCAGTGTTGGGCAAACTTCACCCATACTCACTTTTATACCGCTCGTCTGCCATGGCACCCATACATGTAGCTGGGTGCTTTTGTTGCTTTTGCTGTGTAGAAGGTGTAAAATTCTCTCATCTTTCCAAATTTACAGGAGAAATAGTGACAGAGTGACTCTGCTAAGTGTGTTTTAGGGCAACTTTTTCAGTCAAACCTTACAGGATGGAGTCCAAATCAGAGGTATCATAGAATCGCAGAATGGTTTGGGTTGGAAGGGACCTCAGAGATCATCCAATCCCAACCCCCTGCCTGTGGACTGGGATGCCCCCCACCAGCTCAGCTGCCCAGGGCCCCATCCAACCTGGACTTGAGCACCTCCAGGGATGGGGCACCCATAGCTTCTCTGAGCAGCTGTGCCAGTGAAGGAGGAGCAGAGCACGTTTAAGCCCCTGGCAGAAAACCTGTACTGAAGTGACACGAGGAAGGCAGTGGCACCTGTTATTACGTGGGTGTGATGCATTTTTCAGCTGTTTCTTTTGAAATGTAAAGCAATGCTTTGATCTGGAGAGATGAACCCAGCTCTTCTGAGCTGCTCATCTGAAAAAATAAAGGAAATACACCAGGTAAAGACACTAGGTTTCTGGACCCAAAAGCACCTCATAATTGTTACTTACACTCAGGGAAATGTCCTTCTGTCCACTGTCATCTGCTGAGGCCTTTAGCAGGCCCAAGTACAGCCATGGCACACAAAGCTGCATTATGTGGTGTGGCTGCCAGCATCCCCTTACTGACAGCCATCCCTCGCTCCTACATTCTCAAAAATTGCCATCATCCCACTTCTGTTGCAAGATGCCAAATCTCTGCTAACACAAAATCTCCAAAGAGCTCTTACTAGGTAACACAATAACTATGCCTAAAGCATGTGCGTGTGTGGGGATGTGTTCATTAACATGCATTTAATTCTTCTATATTTAAAACAGCACACTGCTTAGTGCAGGAAACCTGTGTCACTTTCCTCAATGAAGAGGAAGAAACACGACTATCAAACTTGCTGTTCATATTCCAGTTGACAACACACTGCCATAACCTACAGTTCTCATGAAGAACTTCAAATATTCAAATATTTCTGAATTAATAAAATAAAGATTTGTGGAATCATAGAATCACCAAGGTTGGAAAAGACATCCAAAATTACCCAGTCCAACCATCCACATACCACCAGTATTTCCCCACTAAACCATGTCCCTCAGTACAACAAATGTCGCTTGGACACCTCCAGGGACTAACTGGGACTCCAGGAACACACTCTTTTTGGAGAAGAAATTTTTCCTATTATCCAACCTGAATCTTCCCTGGCACAAGTTGAGGCCATTCCCTCTTGTCCTATTGCTAGTAACATGGGAGAAGACACCAACCCCCACTTCATCACTACCTCATTTCAGGTCATTGTAGAGAGCAGTGGGGTCTCCCCTGAGCCTCCTCTTCTCCAGACTGAACAATCCCAGCTCTCTCAGCCGTTCCCCATAAGACCTGTGCTCCAGACCCCTCACAGCTTGAAATTTACTGTGATCCCAGCCCCAGCAGCAAGCCCTATGAGGCATAAGTGGGCAACAACAGAATTCTTCTTCCATTTCTGACTATCACCGTTGGGGGAGGTCTGAAGAATAAGCAGAAATTGCAATATGGATATAACTTCACTTGGAGCTACTGAAGTTGAGTGCTTCTCATTGGTTTCATGGAATTCAGCACTGCCCAAGGTGTTTACTGACACAGGACAGCACCACTGTGTTGGCAGCACGTGGCTCCATGCTCCGTGTTCTCCCTGCAAGTCATCAGGCTGTAGCCATGCAGGTAGGCCTTAACACGTCAGGGCTGTGCTGTATATGGGGGTGAGACTATTATTTTTGTGCTTAACAGCATCTGTGTGCTTCAGTAGGCTGAGAAAATCTTGTGCTCTAGCATAAACTGAAGAAGAAGGTGTAAAAGTTTTGTCTGCTGTCTTTTATTTTGTTTTCTGGGTATTCCTGTGACATTTTTTTTAATATCTGACCTTCTTAGTTTATATTTTAAATATTTCTCCTTTGGGAAGGCTGTTTTCTTGGTAGGTAGATCACCTTTCTGCTGAGAGAGAAGCAAATAATATAAATGTTACGTGTCAGTCAAATAGTTCTTGAGGTGCTTTCAACCAGGGAAAGAATTTTAATTCCTGACCTTCACACTCTTTTACGCTCATAAAGTCACACACAGAAATGCTTCCCCATCTGAGAGGTGTGCCAGGGAGTGAGATGAGTACAACAGCCGTATTTTTAGGGTGAGAGGTAACAGCCTGAAGTTTCATCATGGGATTTCAGGTTGGGTATTAGGAAAAAATTCTTCTCAGGATGTGGTGAGGCAGTGGCACAGGCTACCCGGGGAGTGGTGGAGTCACTGTCCCTGGAGGTGTTCAAGAGCCATGGAGATGTGGCACTGGAGGATGTGGTTAGTGAACAGGGTGGGGGTGGGATAATAGTTAGAATAGATAATCTTAGAGATCTTGTCCAGCTTTAACGACTCTATGATCTATTCCAGTACCTCAGCATTTCTCTTACAGCAGACGTTACGGTTTTTCCACTAATGTAAAAAGTAGTTTTTAAAAATGCTTCTTTAAATCCACTGAGGTTTGGATTTGTTATTCTGTTTTTGTTTGTTTGTTTAAATTACTCATTAGCATTCAGTAACCTGAGTGTGTACTTTTTGTTAAGAATCTCAGATGCTATCTAGCTGGATAAGAAGTAAGATAATATGACATATTTTTCTTTATTTTTGGTTCATTGCTTTTTAGGCATATTTTTATAACAGATAAAGTTTGTTGTTATCATTAAATGGAGGAGAACATCTCTCTCCCTGGGAGATCTGGAAATTTCACATCTAGAGGCCTGTAGGATGTTACATTAGAGGAACTTGTAATGCTGAGCCAACCAGAGGCAAGCCAATTATCTTGACAAATACATCCTTTCCTCAGTTAAATACTTGACTGATGTGGGAATGGGACAGTTTTGTGGATGTCTCCAAACAGATCCTTCTGTGCCCAGCCCAGCGTCTGTATGTTTCTCTGCGCTGTTTAACATCCTGGATCTGATCTTTCCAGACTCCAAGACTGCAAAAGTGGCCAAACTCTTGCAAGTAGTCAGAAGAAACCTGTTGCTAGTCTCTACTTGAAAGTGGTAAGAAGACACCTCCTGCAAGTGCAGAAAGGCTGTTGATGTAGTCTACCTAGACTTCAGCAAAGCCTTTGACACTGTCTCCCACAGTATTCTCCTGGAGAAGCTGGCAGCCCGTGGCTTGGACAGGTACACCAAGTACACTCTTTGCTGGGTCGTGAACTGGCTGGATGGCTGGGCCCAGGGTATGAATGGAGTTAAATCCAGCTGGCAGCCAGTCATTTCTGGTGTTCCACAGGTGTCAGTGTTCAGGCATGCCCTTTTCAATATCTTTATTGATGATCTGGATGAGGGCATTGAGTGCACCCTCAGTAAGTCTGCAGATGACACCAATTTGTGAGGAAGTGTCAATACAGAAGGACCTGCAGAGGGATCTGAACATTCTGGATGGCTGAGCTGAGGCCAATGGGATGAAGTTCAACAAGACGAAGTGCTGGGTCCTGCT